ATCCCTGCTTAGATACCTCCATCTGCAGGAGCTGGTCCTGGGAGAGCCAGGGAGCACAGCCTGGGAAGGAGAATGCCTTCACAGGGAGCAGAGGTAGGTAGCAACAAGTAATGGAGGAAAATGAGTTGGCAGTACAGTGTCCACCCAGGCTCTTTGGGAGCCAAGGGAGTGTGAGTCTGGGTTTTCCCCCACCTACTCTGAGGCTTCCCTGGGGAGAGGTGCAAGTCCAGGGCTGCAGTGGGGCAGGAGAGGTGGTGCTGGGGGTACAACACAGTTGCAGTCAGTGCCCAGCCTGCACCATGTGGAAAGTTCTTTTCAGGCATCCTAATTTTTCCCCATTAAAAAGTATCTTTAAAATGCATGTGCTTTTTAAGGAGTTAGGTTGGCCAGTGGCATTGCAGAAATGTGCACTGGCATCACTGGTGCAAGGCTTGGGGAGCTGGAAACCTGTGGCTTTGTTTCTGTAGCTCTGTGCACAGGCTGATCCTATTCTGCACCTGCCTTGGAAGCAGCTTGAGATCAAATCATTATTTGTTTTGGTAGAGAGTAAAACTGGGCTCTCTTAGGGAAGCTGTAGTGTCATTTTGCTTTGAAATTGTGATTTCTTTGTGGCTTAGCTTATGAACACTGTTTCTTGCCACGGTGAATCTTTATACATCTGTATAGTTAGCAGTGGTTAGGTGAAAATCCCACATTCCTTTTAAATATAAAGGATAACCAATGCACTCTGCACACTGGATCTGCTATGAACTAGTTCTCTGAGTGATGGTTACCACAAAAAACATCTGTGCTAGGATGACCTTCTGTTCAGAGCATCTTTCTACCCTTTATCAGATGACCTTCTGGTCTTGAACTGTTGTTTTGTTGTAGCTCTGCTCAGGAACACAAAGTCTATCCAAGCAAGCAGCTTGCCACATGTGTGAGCAGTACCACCTACCTCCCTGTTTGAAGCTTGGATTGTGCAGTTCCAGGAAGTTTTGCCTTTCCCAAGGCATTTCCTCCAAATCAGAGGTAATGTAGGTCATTAAGTGTGGCCCTGCATTCCAAATGCCTCAGAATTGGGTCTTTTATAGTCACGGGCTGTGCACTGGCCATGAGAAATGGCAACGGTGCTCTGGGTCCAGCACTAGATCCTAGAAACCCTCTGACACTGTGAGTAGGTGAGGTCAGCCACATTCCTCTTCCTAATTTACTTGACACACTCTCCCTATCTAACCCTCCACACCCAAAGACCTTTTATCCTCCAGATTGCTTTTAAAAGTCCCTTTGGTGCCCAGTGCCCACAACAATCCGATAACTGCCTTGGTGCCTTTGTCAGGTACTCAGACACCGGTGCAGGCCTAGGAAGGTAACCTAGATAGGGCTGAAGTAACTACTCATTCCTCTGTCTGGGTTTCCTGGGAAGTCCTGACTCTCTGCCCATCTTGATCAGCACTCCTGGCCAGGTGCTGCCCGTGTTTCACCTCATTGACTTCCAAGCTCAACATCAGCATTAGCAATGTCTGGTTCAGCTGGTAAGATACTTTGGAAGGTTGGCACCATGCCTCCTGTATGTTTGTTCAGTCCTGAAAATGCCAAAAGTGGTTAAGAAATAATAGGTGAGGGCACTAACGTGTGCCACGTAATCATGAAGATGTCCCAGATGGCCACCAGCCCTGCTGAGAGGCTGTCTTGGGAAGAGTGGTGCCTGTTAGCTGCTCATGGCTATTTTGAAATCTTCCTGGGACACAGGTATGAATTTTAACCCAAGAAAGGCCTTGTCAGCTACATGTGGTGATTTCCCTGTCTTGGATTGCACCAAGTGCTCCAAGACACCTGGGAGGACATCTCTACAAGCAACGTGATCATTGTCTGGGGCCTGGCTCCAGCTGTCTCTGCCTCCCCATCAGCTAGGAGCAGAAGGGAAAGTCAAAAGCTCTATCATTTTCCTGTATTCTCCCCTGGTCTGTCATTGCTTAATTGTATCCCTAAATCTTATTGAAGTTTGGGGTGAGTCATTGCCATGGTGAGGTAGAAACAGAGCTGAGGAGACCTAAGAGAGGAAGAGTGTCTCCCCATGCAAGTGTGCTGAGCAGGAAAGCTCCCACAGCAGAGAGGAACTCCTACCACTTCAGAGATATGTTGCATCATCTACCTGCTGCTGCCTCTAATTGAGTGCTCCAAATCCCCTATCAAAACACCTGTAGTCCAAACAGAATGTAAAATAGACCTGGGGAGGGAAATTCATGCCAATTAGACATGCAGATCTCTCTTACACGTCTGAGACCTTCTTCCAGGCTCACAGGACTTGTAATTGTGGTCCTGTTGCATTGACTGTCATCCACAGAACCCACTTCCCTTGCCACTACCAGAATAAAATTGTAGGTTTAATCCAAGGTGGCTGCACTTCAGTGTCCTAAATGTATTTCATTTGTGGCTGCAGAAGTTCAAGCTTGTAAAACACATTATGGTCTCTTGTGGAAAAAAAGAAAGCACTGTAGAGTTGTGAAACCATTGTCACTGGACAGGTAATTTCTTTGTAATGAACTGGAAGACCTCTGCTTAACTGTTTAGGCACCATTATAATCCCTTGCACTTACTATTCTGGTTTCTGATGCAAATTAAAAAAAAAATCTTCTTTCTGAGGCTGTGTTTTCCATCACATTCTCTTAACCAGCTTCAGAAGAAATTTCCTTATCAGCTGCCATCCTGACTGGGGTCTTAGCTGGGAGCAGTGCAGTTGCAGTGTCCCTGGTTTAGTATTTTATTGCTTTGCTTTTCTTCACAGCCTTTAGGTGATGTACTTGTCACCTGTTTCACAGAGTTTAGTTATTTATTGAAATTAAAATCTGTCTTCAGGACAGAGGGAGTTGAAGCCCTGTCCTGAAAGAAAGGTGAATGCCCAACTTAGTCCTTTGTTACTGAAATAAAAGAAGCTGCAAGTTGATGGATTCAAGAGGAGCATGACATCCACCAGAAAGCCATGTACCCACAGATCTGGAGGTGAATGGCATCACTTTGACCACCCAGAGATGCACCTGCTTGGATTAGGTCTTGTGTTGAATGTATCTGTAAAAGCACAGAGAGCTTGGATCCCTCTGACTTGGCTTCTCCAGCCTCAGTGTTGGGGCTTAGCTGCAGGTTATTAACTAATAACCCTTAGTTAGGGTATTCCATGTCTGTGTAGCACAACTGAGTGATCATAGGAGAGCATAAGAAAATGTTGTATTCGATATTTCTTCCCTTCTTCCATGTTCTTCATGAGGACATCAATGGGTTTATCTTCTCTAAAATTGGGATTACAGTACCCACAAGTTGTTCTGACTTGCTGAGCTTCACCTGATGTGGGCAGTCTGGGACCAACCAACAATGCAGCTCAGACTGAAGGTGTTCAGAGCTGCCTGGGCTAAGTGAGGTTTCTAGGTTGAGTTCCAAGAGAACTGCTCTTGTTGTGAGAGGGTGGGACACCAAGGGCAGTGTGTAAGTCACCCAAACCACAGAGGGTTTTGCTAAGCAGATGAAAAAACTATTTTAGCTCATCAGGTATTGCCTGGATAATGATATCTCAGTTATTAATGGAGCAAATGAGGGAAGGACAGGCAAGAAATTTCAGGACATTTTGCAAATGGAGGTAAATCTGCCATCCAAGAGGAAGCCAAGAAGTTCTGTTGGAGCTGTAGTAGACAGCAGTGCTCCAAAGGAAAAGAAAGGCCAGGGTAAAACTGTGTCAGGCTGGATGTGATCAGGCACTTAATACTTCAGCAAATCACAGAGTCACAGCATAATTGAGGTTGGAATCACCTCTGGAGATGATCTAGTCCAAAACCTCTGGTGAAAGGGGAGGTCAGGTAGAGCAGATTGCTCAGGACTGTGTCCTGTTGGGCTTTGAATATCTCCAGGGTTGGGGATCCACAACTTTGCTGGACAACCTGTTGCAGTGTCTGACTGCTCTCACAGTACAGCCAATTTGTCTCATGTTTAAATGGAATTTTCTGTATTTTAGTTTGTGCCTATTGCCTCATCTGTTCCCTGGGCACCAGTGTGAAGAGCCTGGCTCACTCTTTACCCCCTCTTCTATCAGGTGCTGATAGTATTGATAAGGTTCACACCCTCCTCCACCCTCAGCCTTCTCTGCCCAGGGACAAGCAGTCTGAGAGCATGGAAGGGGGGTTGGTTTAGGAGGTTGAACTGAAGTTATTGGGCAGATATTGGTATTATGAAACCACCCTAAATGCTGCCCTGAGTCAATGGTGATGTACAAGTAATACAGAAAAGGGCAAAAGGAGCTTTCTTGGTTTTTTTCTTCCTTCTCTGTATCTTTTTTTTTTCCTGTAGTACCTTTAATTTATATCTGTTTGCTTGGCATTGTCCCAGATCTCTTCTGGGAATAGTTATCTCTCAGTCTTTTATCTCTTTGTTTTTGTAATTTAAAGTGATCCTGGCTGTCCCAAAAGCTGAGATATTTATGGGGAGTGAGTTCAGGTTGGTGCTTAGTTGATTCCTGTGACCTGCAGTGATGAGCACAAGCACTTTGGGTAAAGCCTTGGATCAAATTTTGAACTGGAGGTGAACTTTTATAGATGTTCAGTTGCAGAATGGTGTTTCTCCATTTTAAAAAAAAAGAAACTTGCATATCCTTAGTTCTGAGGAGGGCAGTAGCCTAAACAAGGAAGTCTCAGATATTTGAAGCACCCAAGGCACAGAATGAGTTTCCCAATATTTCTGTAAAATATCAGAAATAAGGGATCTGGATTCTGCAGAAAACAAACAAAAAGAAAACCTTGATCTTATTTAATTAGGAAAAAAAAAAGACTAGTTTCTCAGGCATGAGGATTTCATTCCTAAACTCTTTGCATGAGGTGATATCTACTTACCTCTGCTGCTGTTGCAGTAGCCCAAAATTACTGAGTGTGCTTGTATAGAAAGGAAGCCAGTGTGCAACCTTCAGAAGATGTGTCTGAACTTCAGGAATTTGAAGCTTTGCTGGTGCTTGACAGGTCTGAGCTGTCTGCTTCTCAAAGGCTGAGGGCCCTGAGTTTCTTCTCTCTGTTTTCCTTGCAGGTGTGTTACTAGACATCCAGCAGCACTTTGGAGTCAAGGACAGTGGGGCTGGCTTGTTACAGACAGGTAAGAGGATTTGTTTTCTTGCTGGTTCCTGTAACCTCTCTCTTCTCAGAAGGTTTCTTCAGTTGTGACCCTTGGGCACACTGTCTGTGAAATACACTCCTACTAGGAAGAGGAGTGAACACAAAGGGGTTTTTTGGTTTTGATTGCTGGTGGGCAGGAGGTCAGGGCTCAGAATGGGCCAAAAGCAAACAAACCTAATGATATTATTTATTACAACTCAATTCAGATTGGAGATGGCTATTTCCCTCAGATCAGAAAACTCACGATAAACCAAGAGCAGGGTCCTGTTCACCTCCCTGAACTCTCTGTAGGTTGGTTGTAACTGTGATGCCCTTCATAGACTCTACAGAGAATCTGCTGAATGTACAGAAGCTGGGAGTACAGCGTGGCATGAAAATGTAAAGCTCATCAGAACAAGTTCCTGAGGATGAAAACTGTAGGGAAGGCTAAAAATCACTGTGTTAATGGTAACTCAGGGATTACCAATAGCCCCATGATTTTGATGCTGTTGGCTTCAGACTTTTCTCTCCTTGTGTTTAAGGAAGAAGGATTATTGCAACTGGGATGTCCTTTGAATGTCCCAGACGTTTTAATGTAGCAGCCATTAATGTAGCTGAGACAAACCCAGCTTTTCTGGCCTCTAATCCTGGGGTGCTTTGGAGGAGTGTCTTTGTCACCAAGCTGGATTTGATGACACTGAGTAGCAGTCTCGTGTAGTTATGACAGCACATTTGATCTTTATGGAGAGTTGAAAGGACTAGCCAGAGAGCAAACCCAGTATTTGATGGAGAGAAACAGTCTGGTTTGGAAACTTCTTACAGAATTATTAGTTGGAGTCACAGATTTGTGGTCCTGTGGTTGTCTTGTCACTGTCATCTGCCTAAGGGAACCACACTGGAACAATTATACCTCTGAAAAAATTGTAATTCAATTAGGATTATAAAGAGTGCCAGAAAGACATTATTTCCATGCTTTTTTTCTTATGCTGTTGCAGTGGATCCAACTGTCTGGTCAGGAGTTTGTCTGTGAAACTGTAGCCAACAGTAAACTGTATAAAATCATCCATTCTTCATGATCACACTAGAAGTGAGAATGTTCTGGAGCTCTGTCCTTTGGAACTACGTGAACCACTGCAGGATCTCCTCCTTGTTCTTTTCTGCAACCCATGGCACAGACAGGTCCTTGTTTGTGGTTACAGCTTCTTGGTAACATTGCAATCCAAACAATTAAAACCAGTTTGTATTAAGGCTTTAAAAATGCTCTCCTTGTGGGATGGCAGAGTCCAGCTAAGCTGATGTGTGCAGCACGTGTCCAGAACAGAGGGTCTGAGCTTTACAAGTCCTACTGATTACAAGTGGCATCAATCAGTTATGCCCAAAGTGGCCCTGGTTGTCTGTCAGGCTCTTTTCTACAGCAATTATTTGTATTTATTTATTGTACTCAGAGGAACAAGTCCTCAATGTATCATTAGACACAAAGTGCCTTCAAGAAAATATTCTGGTGGAAAACAACACTTGCCAAAGCATATATTTAATCTTCATTCCCCTCAGTGGATGAAAAAAATTCTGCAGATGATTTACTGACAGTAAGTAAGAGCTAAGCTCCAACAGGGCATTTCATTTGTTAATTGCAAGGAATGTTATTTATTTCTCTAGCAAACACACAGGGCGTCTGAAAACACTGTCACTGAGATATTGCAAGATTGCTGCTGAGTCTCTCAAGAGTTTTGTAACTGATGAGTGTTGCTTTTAAAAAAGCAACATTTTCTGTTTGTTTGGGGGTTTTTTTGTTGGTTTTTTTTTCTGATCTGAAAACCGAGGGTTGGACTTTGCCCCTGCAGTATGGGTAATAATGCATTAATCAGAGTGCCATCACAGGAAAAGAGTGCTCCCAAAATAAACCACCATTTCACGTAAGGAAGGGTAGGGGCACATCACTGAAAACTTATGCAGTGTATTACATCAGCTTCACAAGTTTCTGTGTTGGCAGCTGGCCCATGGCCCGTGTAACCTTAACCCTGGTGAGATAAAACACACTGGGCTAACCCACCATAAACACTACTCTTAATCTTTTGTCTGGTCTCTTAAGTTTGACCTCTCTAGATGTGCAAACTTGGGAAGATGGATGCAGAATATAAAAGCATTCGACCAAGGTTAGAGAAGGAAGCCCATAGCAGAGCTGGGACCAGGACTGATGTCTCCCAGACCTCTGCCTTAACCTTCAGCAGCTCCTTTGCAAACAGAGAGACAGAAATGTCATCTTATTCCCAAGAGATGGTCCTGCTAACTAATTGAGTGATGTGAGACGAAAGGCTGCTCATCCTGACTATGTCCTCTGAATAAAGAGTGGATTAGTCCTCAGGTTGTTAATCCTGCATCTAAATGAGTCCTAAATTAATTTACGATGTTAATGAGGGGAGTGAAACGTGGTATTCGCTGGCAGTTCATATCACTCATCAAACAGGCTTTAAAAAAAATACTAAAGAAAATATTTTTAACTGAGAAATGAGGCTGCTCACAATTTTAGGAGGAGATGGTTCTGAAAACTCAAACAGCAAGGGAAAAGGAATCCATCTGAGGTGATGTGTGACCCTGTGCTCACACCGTAACCCACCCTGTGCAGGCACAGCCCATCTCAGCTCTCTCACTCCAAATGTTCAAAGGCCAATTCACACACTCTGAGCTTCTGCTGCTCTCTGGAAAGCAGAGGTGACTGGTTTCTTAGGAATTGCAAAGGCAGAATTTGAATTTTTGTCCCCTTTTATATTAATTCAAAGATAGAAGCTGCTCTTTGCCTGGGAGATGGAATGAAAACTGATGTGAGAGGCACTGTAACTCCCTGTACAGAAAAATCACAGGGACACTCCAGCCTCATCCATAATGGAAAGGAGGAGAACGTGGTAGTCTCTGCAGCAAGGATCCTGTGACAGCAAAGGACACACTGACAGATGGATCACAACTGCTGCTTGCCCAGTAGCACTGTGGAGTAACAGGCGTGTAACTATGTTGATTTCAGAGCCTCAGTCATCTCTTGATGATGCTATAATTCTCTGATGATCTTCATTTTTAAAGCACTGCATAGGCAGTTAGATAAATATTGGTTGTGTTCCCTTAACTGTCCTACAGATCTGCATCCAAGCTTTCTTGTGCTTTTCATTTCTCCTGGTTGCTTTTCCCAGCTGGAGAAAGGATAATCCTGCCTGGGCTCAAAGGGTAACAGAGCATCTTCTTGCCTGCTTGAGCTGCACAGCTCTAGTCAGGCAACACATTTCTAAGCCAAACCATCCAAAAAGTCTTTCCCATGGGTGGAGTTAGGTAGGAGCAGCAATTTGTAGTCACCAAAACTAGAGGCCTCAAAACCCACAAAGACTGAGAAGATGGACAAAAGGATTTGTGGAACTGCTTCAAAATAGTGTTGTCTTTCCAGACATACTTAGACCACAGGAGTAGTGCCCCAGTGCTGTACTCTGCTCTTCACTAGGGTTTCCCCCTCCCTTTTTTCTTCAGTTTTTGTGCTTTATTGCTCTCTCTACTTTCCTTGCCCTTGGATTTATTTTGCTTTTGTGTCTCTGGCCAGTGTCTGCTTAGCACACCAGAGCTCTAATAATAATGATGCCTGTCTCTCAATATAGTTTGTCTTCTGTAGATCTCAGGATGTTTTATGTAGGGAGAGAGAATGAGGCCTGGCCTTTGCTACAGATGGGGAAACCAAGAAAGCCAGATGGGAGAAATGACCTGCCCAAAGTCACACAGCAGGGCTGAGGCTGAGCCAGCATGAGAACTGTGGTCCAGTTCCTGAACATGCAGCATTCAGCTAGGTTAGATCCAGGGATTTGGTCTGTGTTAATGGGCACCTTAAGCTTCCAGCTTAGGCAGCTCCAGCTCAGGGGAAGGCACAGAAATTAGCAGGGACTTCTGCAAGTGGAAAGTGTGAAGCATCAGAGGGAGGGTGTGACAAGGATGCCACTGAAATGCAGAGGGGCAAAGTGTCTGTGTTCAGCAAGAAGACAGGGATGTCATTAGAGGAAACTCTGGTCACTGGCAGTTTATACCATAAGGTCAGAAGCAGAGGAATGGAAGGAAGGGAGAGATCTGGAAGGACTCATTAAAGGTGAATAATCACAGCTAACTGGGGCTCTGAAAGAACTTGTCTCTTCTCACGTGGAGAGAGATGGGCACTCTCCCAAATGCCTTTCAGCCCCTGGCTTCCCAGGAAGCCTACAGCAGAGCCAGGTACTTTCTTAAGTCTTGTGCTCTTGTTTTTCCTGTAAGGGTCAACTACAACTTCTGTTCATTTGAAAAATGAAACCTTTCCCTGCCTGTGTTCCCTGACTTCTTGAGCCAACCTAGTGTAACCCTGCACTAAATTGCAGCCCTGCCAATGTGTTAGCAGAGCACTTCCTTGGGATGCTAACCTTGAATGTGTCTATACTGCATGAGTGGCAGGATTCACATGTTTCTTTTCTACCATCTGCTTCTACCTGAATAGATCCTGTCTAGCTCCTCTGTGCTCTGCATAACTGACTCTAATCTTCAGCTTCACTTCCTACTGCACCTGCTTAACTGTTCTGTTTGGAACAGAGGAACTTATATTCTGGACACTTTCCTGTTCTCTATTTTAAATTCATGGGCTTTCCTTTTGAGTGAATGAGTTCTTACACCAGAGCACCTCCCAGGACCCCAGTATCTCAAGTGTCCAACCCAGAAGGCAAGACAAAATGCTTTATTGTTGCTTTTCTTGATTTATGACTGCTAATGTTTTGGAGCAGCATGTTCTTACCCAGAGCAGGTCGTGCCACTGTCATCCTCTCTGCCCCCAGCCATGCTAAGCATTCTCAAATCCAGGTTACTACTCTTGCAGTCTGGGGCTCTGAATGCCAGGACAAGGTGGAACTGCCAGTCTGCCAAAAGGGGGTACTTGAAGTTGTATCAACAATGAACAAAACCTTTTTCCCCATTCCCCCCTCCATACCAGATTATCATTTCTTTCTGAACTTCTCC